GTCTACAACTATGAAAACCTCAAGATATTTTTGGACCGCCAAGATATTTTGCTAAACAGAACAGTAAAGAAAAGATTGTTTAGATACAGTATGTTATTCCCCGCAACCAACAGGTCATCAGATAGTCAGAAATCTCCATGTTTTACTTCCTGGCCTTGGAGTTTAAGAAATATTGTTGTTGTTTTTTTTGAAGAAGAAGACATTTATAGGGAGAGATTTTGCCATCGCATGAAACATTTTCTTTGTACAAAATATAGCATGGCATTTGTTTCCAATGGCATCCATTTTCAGAATTTATGGTCGCTACGTTTAGAAATTTGAACCATATGAAGTGTATTACTTCCTTCATCCCATAGGAAAATGTATCGGTGCTTTTTCAGCATATGGAACTGCAAGGTCAGATTGCCAATTCCATGGGGCAATTTCTTTCCTTGCTGTCTGACAGCCCCTTTCTTAACCCTGTTACACAAAATCCAGGATGAATAAAGTGACCATGACCTGGCATTGAGACTAGAACATTCAAGATGTGAAGGTGACTATAAAGCACAAGCTCCACTTTCTGAGCACAAAGAATCTCCAATTGGCATAAACACTGAAGCCATCAATCAAGCAGACGTTCAACGTTGGCGATTGCATTTGCATTTTGGCATTGCACTGTAATAACAACTATTGCTCCAAGATTATCACATTTTAACAAAAGAAGTTGAGGTTTTGAACATCCGGATATGTTTCAGCCATTTCCAACTTCTGCCACCAAAAGGAAGGAGGGAACTATGATCTTGGATGCAATATTTTGTCTTCAATTTTCTTCTGCCTCCAGTAATGGAGAAAAACATTGTGAGTATGAGGATCATATGTGACCAGATTCAATTTGTTAGTTTTAATTCTATCATTACTTCAATCTAACTAGATTCAAATCAAATTGGAAAATTGAGACAAGATTATATTTATTAGGTCTTATTAGACATCTCAACACATTGTTTTAACATTTCAATCAATTTCTCCCTTATCCCAAGTCCTCTATGCATGCATAAAAGTGGCATCTAATTTGATCATTTGATTACTTTTTAAAAACCGATTTACAAAGTTAAGATTCAAATAAATCCATTTTGAGCCAAATCTCCAAACTAAGTTTGCATGATTATGGAAAATGGTATATAGCTGGAATATGTATTTTCTGTTCATTAAATTTCCATATCTTATTGTTCAGCATGGCTGAAATAGAATTTCAGAAATGGAGGTTTCTTTCCTATGAATTCTTTCTAATCACTTCCAGAGAAATTATCTTTTGCTTTACATCTTCAAAACAAATAAGTGTATCCCTGTTCTCAAACCATGTTATATACTGGAAGGTTTATGAGACTTACTTCTTCAGGAGTAGTAGATAATTGAGAGGTCTTTTTGATGGGCCCATTTGATTTCCAACTGGTGCTGGTTACCCCACAGATTTGGGGGGTCTCATCCTCCTTTTCTACATTTTCAGATTTGTAGACTGCATGGGCTTCACTGTCAGAAAGCTTCAAGGGTTCAATAAGGTATGTCTCACCTTGGTGCTTGAAATGTCCTCTGTAAGAAAAATTGTAGGCTCTTTATGAACAGGGTGATTAAATGTACATAATCAATAAAAGACAATATTTGTACTTCAGGGCTGAATATCACTAATGATGTTACCTACTTGGGTAACAAAATGTCTGCAAAAAATGAACACACAGAGTGTACGGGACCCTTCAATGGATAAACAAACGTTAACTAACCAAGTCAACATTCTCAATATAACCATGAAATATCTGTACAATATTTCTATGAAGACTAAATCTGCTTGAAAGATTCAGTTTATATGTAAAATTTATTTCATAAAATTATAATATAGTGCATTATCAATGCAATATCAGGTGTTTTCAGTCCAAATGTATAGAATGTGAAGGATGTTTGTGTTTTATTTTTATAATTATAATGTACGAGGTGCAATGACAATAAGGTAAACTTAAACTTATGTCATATGTATATGACACACACACACACACACACACACACACAAAAGACCCAAATATTTTAATTTAATTTTAGGTAATAAAATAAAATGTTATACAAAAACTGAATCTTTCAAACAGGTTTAGTTTTATATGCCAAACTATCTCCATACAAATATTGTACAGATATGTCATGGTTACACTCAGAATGTTAACTTTGTTATCGTTCGCATATGTGCATGCATGCATGCAATGCAGAGAACAACATGAATAAAATCCAGACTAATAGTGCAGAAAAACAGGGAGCTGGAGGCTAAAACATATGATGAATGATGGAGGTAATGAAGAGAAGGACTATGGGTGACATAATAACAGTTGTCCAATATTTAAGAGGGTGTCACAAAAAAGAGGAGGGTAACCTATTCCCCAAAGTATCTTAAGGGCAAGACAAGAAGTAATGGAGAAATTTAACAAACTTATCAAAGAATGAAGCAACCTAGAACTAAAAAGAAATTTTGTGACAGTGAGAACAATTAACTAGTGGAATTAACTAGTGCCTCCTAGTGGAAATTGGTGGAAGCATCACTGGAGGCTTTTAAGAAGAGATTGGACAGCCATGTGGACTAGAAGACCTCGAGGTTCCTTCCAACTCTGTTTTTCTATCATTCTGTCATTCTCTTGTTATTCTATTGTGTTCCAATGTTTCTATTAGTCCTTCATTGTATGGACACAGTCTCAGCTCAATTTTTTGTTTGTTTGTTTTTTGTTAGTTTGGGGTGGGTTTTTTTTTTTTTTTTTTTTTTTGTATTTTCCTTCTGTTGGGAGAGCATTGAATCTGGTTAAAGGTGAAGTGCTTCTGAATTTTGGAATCTTTAAATGACTAAGTTATCTACATGGTTGGAGAAGGTGGGCAGAGTTGCTTAGGAAGGTGTTTCTGGGCAGAACTGAAAAGTCTGCTTGCCTCTTCCTAGCAAACCTACCTATCTTTTTTTTCCCCTGCAACAATCGCTCCTATATACAAAGGAGACATGGACTTTAAAGGTCATCTAGACAGGACTGATTTCGCTCCCTACTGTGTCTACTGGCTGGCAGCAGCTCTTCTTGGTATCCAAAGCCTTTCTGCCTCCTGGAGATATCTTGGATGACACCCAATTAACTTGCATGCTCTTTTTTTAATATGACAATTCCAAGAACAGTAATAATATCTTCATTCTTAATAAAATAAACAAAAGATAAAAGACTTTCTTACTTCAAGCCATCGCATGTACTGACGACTGCAGTTGAGTCAATGTCATTCTGGATGCGCCCATGATAATAGCAGTGATCCTGCATGGAGGCAAGAGGACCACACTGGTTAAACCTTGTTTGCACTGTGATTTGATGAGCAGAAGTGCAGTTCCAATATATTCCACAACATCAACGAAACAATGAGTAACAAGCAACTTGTTCAAGATATTTTGATTGAGGAGGACAGAAAATCTGCTTTGAATTGATTATTCCAAAATGAATATAGGATAAACACAAGTCTCCATTAAAGGAAGTCACACTGCAGGGGGATTATCACTGGTGGCAAAATGCTAAGAATCTTTGAAAAGACACTCAACAAAGGACTATAAAATGTTCTGTTCAAGTAACAAGCCCATTTCTCAACCAACCTTGTCTTATTGGAGGTCAGCCCAATGCTGCATCACAGGATTTACTGAATAAACTCTCAAACTATGTAATAGACACATCAAAGATATACATACGCTACAGTAAAACTATGTAAAAGATGCATATATAACCAGGAAGACTCCAATTGGTGTTGAAATTTGATTCCTAGAATCTTCTAGGAGACGAGTCATGTAGAAATTAAAACCAACAGATTTATGTTACAACCAAGAAAAGAGTAGTTGGTATGACCTTTGAAGATACTAAGTCACAAGTGGACAATTTTTGGAAGCAGATGATGCACTTTTAAATCAATTTTGGTGGAGGTGACCTAAGAAAGCATGTTACTGTTGTGATATAATAGCTGGTGGAGTCAAGCTCTGGCTGATTTTAATGTGGGGACATACCGGTAGTATGAATTTATGAAATCTGTAGAAGGAAAGTATTGATATTCAAAACAAATGATTTTTCATCTATAAGTGTAATAGGGTTTAAAAAGCAAAGTAGATAATCTGAACTTGATGTTCTCATACTAAACCTATGTAGGGCTCACTCCACAAAATATTGGCTTTTAATCAATAGGAAATAACTAAAATATCTCCCTATTAATTCAATAAGTAGAATAGACTGGGTTTTAACAACTCACACATCCTTACAGAGATCATGCTCAATGTAAGACACTTCATTCATATACACCCCTACTTGTTTGAATAGCCTGGTCTGATATATGCATATTTGGAATGTTGTGCACAAATATTCTTCCCAATTAATTTCATAAAAATAAGACACTCTGAATATTACCTCAATTGGAGGGCTTGTTGTAATTTCTCTGCCATCAGGAGAATAATGAGTCTCGGTGTAATCTTTGGAAAAAAGTCCTCTGGAAAGAATGCAAAGAAGATGTTACTTAGCAAGCATTATTTATATTAGGAATTAAGTAGGCATTTAAGAGGCAATAGCATATTCAGTCTACAATTACTGTATAATGACATTTTAAAGATATTGTTTGGTGTCAAAGAAAAGGAGCCAGCATTTCAATCTGATCAGGTATGGCTATTTATGAGGAGTGCACAGCATTCCAGATTTTCCTGGGGAGAAAGATTTGTACCAAGAAAGCTGTGCAATCATCAAGGCTCAGAGGTGGTATGATTGATGAAAAGGGTCTTTGATTCTTCCATTCAACGATCAGCTGAAACTACTAGGTCTGCAAAGGAGAGCAGTACAGCTCTCTTTACTCAAGAGGTTCGCATTGCTTCATGAAGACACCTCAAGAAAGGGATGTCTCTGGAACCTTCATTCAGAAACATCTCTCTTGATGTTCCAAACTATAGAATTGGGTCACTATCTACTCCTGGTGTCACATCCATTCCATTCGTTGGCATATAATTCTATGTTTCCAGTCTAGGCATAACCTTGGTATTCCTTGCTAGTCTCCCACCTATGGCCCTGTTTTGCTTTCAGGTCTGAACATGATCATGCAGATGCTACTCTAGAAGTTCTTCATAGCCTTCATAGTCAAACAGTAGAAAGGGGAACATATATTTAGAGGGCACGTATAGCATGGTCAATACAGAAATACACTCTAAAATCAGAGCCAGACAGTCATTCCTAATGTCCAAGGTTATGAAGCTATTCTTAAATTGCAAGAGGGCTGCAGGGATTCTAAGCAACTCTTCCCATGTTTACAGTACAGTAGCTGCAGAGGTGGTATTCAGCAGGCTCTGACCAGTTCTGGAGAACCGATAGTGGAAATTTTGAGTAGTTCGGAGAACTGGTAAATGACTCTTTCCAATCATGTTATTCTGTTCTACTAATAAAATAATCATGTTATTCTGTTCTACTAACAAAATAATTTGAGTCCATGTCTGTTTCCAGTACTAAAACAAAGCTGTTAATAAAAATTCTAAAGCCTGACTTGACAAATTAATGAAAGACTAAAAACATGTTCCAATGATTAATTATTCTGCAGATATAATCCAAGTGGCAAATCTATTTATTATTACCTTTATTAATATAGTTCAAATGGTGCACCATTAAGAAGGCCAACATAGCATTCTTAGCAAAAACAACAAAAAAACCCAGGCTGTGTTGAAATCTGAGCCTGTTTAGGTCAAGCTTGTTTATGTGATCCCTTTCATGCCTTAATCATGCATGAGGTTTCATGACTTTGATGCTCCAACATGTAAGCTCTGTTATAAATTGAGCAGCAATATGAAGCTCTTAGGAAGCCTACAGATTGATGTGTTGTCTGTGGAGAATCATTAATGCATAAGCAATCATTTTTAAATAGCAATAGCAATAGCAGTTAGACTTATATACTGCTTCATAGGGCTTTCAGCCCTCTCTAAGCGGTTTACA